CATCCAATCTCTTCCCCAGCACTAATATCTGTATATTATCCAGATTTTCCTAGACCGTATTTCTCTTCCTCCACTGCGCATGTTTTGTGTGTCACTGCCCCTAGTGCTATATAAAACAATGCAACTTGTTACTTGAGTGTAATAAACTTGTTAATCCAGCCCCAGACCTTGTTCTACTATTTCAAATACCTAGACCAACTTGCTGTTTGAAAGGAAGTAAGTTGTTCCCTCGGCTGCAGAACTAATGAAGTCGATCGGCTATGGATTTGTATCCTATGTCCTACCTCTTTCCTTATCACAGTAATCCAAGATAATTTTACTCATGCCATCTATATTTTCATTTCTGCCCCTCACCTCTTCATCTTTTATTTCCTCATAAGGTAAGGAATAGCTAATTAATCACCATCTAAACACTAACTGGTGCAGCATCAGACCAAACACAACAGAAAACTGAATTCCTGTTATAGTTTCTCTCCTTCCAACCAATGATTTTTAAAAGCTTGTAGTATTTGTGAGAGCTCTGCTCCTCTGTCAAATTTGGTTGACATAAGCCCATAGCTCTTCTGTGAACCTAACTAAAAATCAATGCACTGAACAAATTTTTCCTGCTCTTTTTCAACAAAGTAGCCATACCAGAATCTAAAGCGTATAAAATTCAATACTGCTTTATGTGTGGGTTAATACTACAGTGGACACTGCTGTATCTATATCTAACAAGAACTGCTTAGGAAAGGGGAATTTTCCTTGATGTAAACAGACATAGGAATTTTGATAGTAAATATAGCCAAGTTTCACAAAACCATGTTCATAACATGATAATTTTAGACATTTGACCAAATAAATTCTACAATGTATGCAATGCACTTGCAGGAAGAAAAACTCTAACAGCGAGGAATGAGTTTAATTCAAATAATCCTGAAGCATGACCTTTTGTATGTTAGTAGTTCTCAGCATTTGCTGCTGCTTGCAAGTATGATCTTTAGATGCAACGATACAACTTCTTATCCTTACACACTGTCAAGGCACCATTAATTTCAATACGAAACAGCACTGCACCTTCTGGAGCAATCCTTCTCTGCAGTATCCTAACAACTTGATAATGGTCAGAAGAAATATTTATGACCTGACTTGTAAGACCAAGTCCAACCTCAATCTTCCCCATTATCACAGACAACTTATGAGAGCTAAACCAGAGGCTGTAAGTGCTTCATGAAAAAAAATAAAATCACTGTCTAGAGAAGGCCGTGGCCTGAAATGCTACCAGAACCAAGTTTACGACCTAGTCCTCAGAGCAGCATCCTCTTCTTAGTCACGGTGACAATCAAGTACCTCTGTAAAATATCTTTCCTAGCAGCAAAATCCTCTTGGCCCCTTTCAGGCTATGTATCCCACCACTCCTAGCCTCTCCCACTTCTTCCAGCAGTTTCGCCCATGGTGGTGACACTGTAGAGCAGAAGGTCAGTGTTAGTGTTACAACCACGCAGGAGTTGTGCAGTGCTCTCAGACCAGCTCCGACACCCAGGTTGCTCTCCCCTTCCCCCTGCCTTCCACCTAGACCCTGGAGAGGAAAAAATTAGCAAGTAACTTTGCTTCAGTACCATGAGCTCTCATACCAGCCCCTGCAAAAGTTGGCCACAGCAAAGGGAACCGAGCCACGCAAACACAGAACACGCAGCCCCCCCCTGCTCTGAAAGGCACCTTCTGTAGCTGAATTATTTTCTCTCGCAGCACATCAGTGCTGTATAACAACCCTGCTGCAACATCGAACAAAACAGGCAGTGACTGTGCAGCTCCATTAATAAATTAGCCTTGCTAATAAAGCACACACGGAAGGAAGTTCTAGGGGTTCTTTGCACAGCATGCAAAGTTGAAATCCCCAGTGAAATCATATCCCCCAGTAAGGGACTAAACAAGAAAAGGGGCTGGGAGATGAGGTCAGTACCAAGGTCAACGTTCAGGATACCGGCGAGGAAAAGCCTGCAGCAAATCAAGGCAAGGGAAAAAACCCCAAGCATTTATTTTAGCCTTTCTAATAGGGGAGTTATAACACACTTCTTGTGTGTCAAATAATTTTGTTTCATGTATTCAGATCAGTACCCTAAACATTTAGGGCAACTTTTATTAAAATTAGTCGAAAGCCTAATTCACTTAAATGGGAACATCATTGAGACTTTAATTTGCTTGGAAGCTGTTACATCTTTATTATTGACAATTTAAGCTCATGGAACCAATTCTCAGTCTCTCTGAAGTTGCACTGATTGTTTTTGCTTTCTTACAGCTGCTCACTCCAGAGGCACCAAATAGCAACCCAGCAGCTTTTTATAAATGTTTTCTAATTATTATTGTTACCCATAAATGTGTTTCCCATTTCAGTGTATAAATAGCAAACTGATTATTTACAGCACTTGCTCCTGCTGAGCACTAGTTTATCTGTCAGAGAGGTGAGACAAATAACCGGGCTATAATTTGTAATAATAAAACCTACACATCATTTTTCTTTTTCTAGGAAAAAAGATACTGTTTCTGCACATCTACCATTTTCTACAGGATCCCCATTTCCCTTGAAGGAAAGGTTTCATGCCCAGTACAATGAAAGAGGTCCTCAAGATAAATGATATTTTAAAATAGAGTAGGATATTCACTGAAAGTCACGTGCAAAGGTTTGTTCTGTTTTTCCAACACTGGGGAAAGCTGGAATGGATATTTTCACAGCATTTCACAATGTGGGACACAGTGTTCAGTTTACCGGACCTAAGGTGACAAAAAAAATAATAGGGGCATTACCTCAGCTAATGTAAATCAGACTGGCTCAGAGGTCAATGAAATTACACCTCTATCCCTCTCTTTGCGGATCCTGTCAAATAATCTGCATTTTTCTTGCCTTGTTTGGGATGATGTGATGAGCAGCTGTGCTTCATGATGGACAATGCAAACTGACATTGGAGATCAGGCGCTACTACAGGCAATTTGAAATGAGAGATCTCTTGCGCTTTCTGCTTAAGAGATGAGCTTAACAGAGCATTTCAGTGCACGGTATAGTCTTCTGTAACTGATTCACAGATCTGAATCATATTGCAGCAACATGTCAGATTCAAGAGGGATCTATTCCAGTAAACACAGCAGCCAGGGAGAACGAGTCCTCCTCACTATAGGATATATGATTAGTTACTGCAACACATTAGAAACAAGTCATTGGGTATATAGACAGTGGACAGTTATCACGAAAGGTCTTTACACATTGTTCTGAAGTGTCATTAAGTATTCTCGGCTGATAATCTTTCTCTCTGCTTTTCCCCTCCTTTTCATTTTTTTCCCTGCTGAGACATGCTGAGATTTGGTTTCGAATGCATTCTTCCTCCCTGGTCATGCATGCGCAGCATGCACAAGCGGAAAGATTATGACCAAAAGGAAAGCACCTTGAAATGTTTATGGTAACAATTCAACAAGCAAAAGCGGTACAGTTGTGGCAATTTTCTGTATTTTCTCTGCCCTCTCTCCCTGTCCATGGTAATAGATAGAAAAACAAAACATTCCCTGTCTTCCCACAAAAGACATTTAATTTTAGATTTTAAAACCAATCAGAGAAAACAGAACAATGTCAATAGCTAGACAAGGTCAACTCTGTGCTGGAGCTCAGCTGTAGCCTTCCTTGATTACAGAGGCAATCGGATGCAGCAACAGGGGTTTATAGGAGCTTGCTGAACATCGAGCAGAGGACAATGATGCTGCTTGGCCCATATAGTCAAATATTAATTCCTTTGAAGTACTGCAAATTTAGGAAGCTTCATTCATGCATTTTAACTGCACTTATCTGATCAACATAAGCAGAAAGTACCCCCAATTTTTCCTTGCCTTTTTAAACATGAAATCTTTATTAATGGACTTTTGGAATAAAAATCCTATTTTTCAGCGTGACATGCAGTGCAAACTAGAGAGGATATAATCTCAATAGCTAATTCCTGCTGCTCTACTTTTTGTATGTGAAGGTAGCTTTGCTGAATGAACAGAAAAATAGTCTTGCTATATCGACACAATACATGAATATTCTTTGAAATGTCTGAATTTATAAAAGCGATAGCTACTGGTGAGTAACAGAAGGGTCATTTTCATAGTACTGTAGTACTCTCCTGTCAGTCTCTGATTACTACAAGCTGGGACATTATCCCCAGGGAAGTATCGCTGTATGCTTGCCCTGTTATAACACTGCTCCCTGCTAACATCTGCTATTGCCCTCTATTGGAGACATAAAGTGAGGCTTGATAAACCTTTAAACTACCTCATTACGGTTGTTATTCTCCTCACTCTATCTGCACATAAGAAGCCTGAATTAGCAAGTTAGAGAAGGACATAATAAACACTAAACATGCAAGCTATCCCACGCACTCTGTGCTACACAGTCTTAAGTACCCGTCAAATCCGAGCATGGATTCCCATTAAGTTATAACTGAAAAATTAAGTGTGGACAAAACCTCCTCAGGAGGACTGTTATGTCTGATATTCCTATGAAGATGAACATTAGTTTCAGTTGTGTTATTCTGTATGTTCAAGAAAATGACACAGTTTTTAACACGAGTTCAAACCTTTAACAGCGCAATTTGGCCACTAGGCAATCCAGGCTGGGGATCAGAAATGCTATGGAAAGACTGTCTTTCAGCAAACTGGGCAAGTCTGCTCTGTACTTGTAGGCATAAAGAATTAAATAGAGAAAAAGCACCTCTTTTTTGGTCCTCCACACTTTATTCTAAAGACATCCTATAAGCCAACTTTAGATGATTTAGCTGCCTTTATTAAGCTCATTTATTATTGTTTGAATTGGCATAGTTTCAGTGGAAACTTCAGGACAACCTGGTACTAGATTCAAGTTCTAGTTGCAAAGACCAAATCACTCAGTCCTCACAGGAGCTCACAATGAGGAAGGTTTTCCACTTCATGTCTGTGCCTAAAAAAGAACACGCTTAAATCTCAGACAAGTAAATTTAAATAAAGCCGGATAGACACTTAAGATGAACTCAGCTTGGTGTGTGTTTGTTTCTTCCTGCCCACAGAGAGCTAAGGATGACACTGAGGGGTTAAAGAGATCAAATGCAGCCATTTTAAATTCAGATTTTGGATCCTGAGTGGATGGGTGTAAGATAAGAAAGAAAAGTTTTGAACTAACCCGATAATAAGCCCTTCAGCTCATTCATAAATTAAACACAATTCAGTATAAATTACATTTCATAGAATTGCACTCCCAGCTCTCACAGACCTTCCATGATTTTTAAATGCCCAGTTGCCTTATGTCATTTTGAAAATCTGACTCTACAAGGTTAAAAATGTCTTTGTGAGTTAACAGATTCCTCCAAGACAAGGCACTGGTCCCAGACAGTCATTTATCAGTGTCTAGATGGAAACCTGATTCAGCTTCATTTTGCTGTCCTAACAAAACAGGTTCCCCCTGCCCCCGCCTGTTGGACAAAATTGAGACATTTTGAACCAACACTTAGTCACTTTTTGCTCTTCTAGTTTTTAATTATAGCTCTGGAAAGTGAATGTATTAGCCAATATAAACTGAGAAAAAAGTTAAATGAGCAAGAGTTAACAGAGACCACATTGCTCACTGCTTTTAGGGAGGCACATTCAAAAGGGTATGGCTTTACCACCTTCCATGCCCAGAAGTCATTGGGATGCCATTATCAAATATCAAAATTAGGCCACCTATCATGGCTTTGGATAAATCCCATTCACCAACCTTTAACTGACTGAATAAAAACTATCATCTCAGAAGTACTGAATCTGATGAAACCTCAGACCTATGGGCCTTATCGCTTCTTTTCTTAAACTAAAGAAAAAGACTCCACAGAGAAACAGTTCTTTAGTGACACTAGCTTTCTCTCAGCAGCATCTCTGACAGTACAATTTTTACTAACTCTAATGAAATACACAGCACACGTATCCCCATAAGCCTATACAAAATAAAATCAGGGTCTCCCCGTAGTTCTCTTCAGAAAAATGGAAGAGCCTCATCCAGGAGAAGACTTCAAACCTGCCTCTTTGCTAGATAGATGTGAGGTCACTGCCATTTTGCCATTATGGTCTATAGAGATCATAACAGGAGGGGGAGTTAACAAAAGCAATTCATTCATCAAAACGAAAGTTGATACATTTTTTGGTTTCAGATTTTAGAAGCTCTCCTCACATATCGTTCCCTCTCCTCCATTAAATTTACCTTTGTTCACAAACACAGTCTAAATTAAGTCCTTTATTTCTCATTTAGAAGTCATAGGGGATTTGTTTATTTATGATTTTTACACAGTGATGCAGCACCTTCTCTTCTGCAAGCAGGAATTTGGACAAGGATGGGCAAACAGAAGGAACAAATATCCCCATGTATGTCCATTTTGGAAACACGAGCTCTGTGAGATGCACCCACACATGGAGGACACCCATCTGTCAGCACCTCCATCATCAGTGCTGGAACCCTCTGGGTCAAAGATGACAGTAATGCCTCGCTTGGTGTTTCTCCATCCACAGATCTTTCACAGAGAAGTATAAATAGCCACCCTTTTTATAACTGGGAAAGCTAAGGCACGCACGCAGCACGGATGTGATTTGCCGATGGTAGCGCAGCTGGAAAGCAGTAGATCCAGGAAGGGTGGCCACCACACCCTCACTACGTGCAGCCCAGCAAAAGACACTGTTCAGGCACAGTCAGAGAAATGAAATATGACTAGCAGACAGTAAGAGTGGCACACAACATGCTCTCTGATTGCATAAGCCTGCGAGAAGTTCAATAGAGCTGCTTGAGCAGCCGGGCTGCGCTGGAGGCAAGTGACAAGAGAGTGCCCTGATGCCTGCAAACAGTCCAGGTTTTACTACTGAAGTGGCGGCATAAAACACTATCCTTCTTAATGACCCAGTGGAGCCCACCTAAAAGATATTCTCTGAATTAGGGAAGTGAGTTAGCCATGTTTCAAGTGTTAGGTTGAACTCTAAAGAGGTATCATAAAAGTTAATGTCACAGTAGCTCTTACACAATAGATATTGATTGTTCTAATTTCAGTCCTTCCAGAGAGGACTAATGCTTAACATTTAACCAGGGGAAAATTATATTTCATATCTCATTTACAGCTGAATCGTTAGAACCAGAAAAGTAGACTGGGGGTGAGAAGAGATTCGACAACTGTCCGTGTATCAGACAGCCTAAATTCTATTTGCTGAATGTGAACAATATTCTTCAGCTGTTTTTGAGAGGGATGCCATAGAAATATGACAGAAATTCCGTGGGTAGGAAGCTAGATGGTTTTGTGGGCTTTTTTGTTGTTTTTTACCAAAATTGAATCTTGTAAGTACTATTGCCATCCCATTCCTTGTGTAAAGTAAATAATTTTTTATACCACATACAGTGCTGTAATCTACGTAAACAGCTGTCAGGGCATTTCTGGAAGAGAATGATTTTATTCATTTCATAAAAATCTGATCAGAACAATATGCGAGCAACAAACCAGCAATATATAAAGGCTCAAGCATCCATTTTAGCTTTATGCAGCCATTATGGAGCCTGAGGTTCTGTTTTGGCTTTGCTATCCACCATCTAAGTATCTCTGAAACACTTTCATACTGCCAGCATCCACCAGCAACAGATTAGCTTGGTGCTCTATCATATATGGGCAAATTTCTGTCCACTGGGAGAAAAGTTGTGCAGCCTATTGGCACGAACTACCAGAAAGATACTGTAAACATGAAGACCAGGCAGATCACAGGGACTGAGACACTTGTCCTGAAAGTCATAAAACCTACTCTCTAGCCTCATAGTTTCGTGGCTTTCAAAGAGAATGAGAAACTAAATATATAATAAACAAAATATTTGCAGACATTCTGTCTGGTGAATCTGCACATTACAGAAGGCTGCAGGATATAGCAATCTCATATTTTAGAAATCTCAGAGCTTACTATTGCAGGCTGACTCCAAATTGCTGGGTAGGCAGAGGTGGCCGCGGTGGAGGAACCTTAACCACAGGTGGCATTTTTCCCTTCTGTTTCCCCCGAAGATTTTCATCGTGTCTGCAAAAATCAAGAAATCATTGATTTTCTGTGCACCACAGTTGACAAACTATATATATATATGAACAGCTACTGGTATTACTCACGATGCTGATTTTCTGACAACAGTGTGTATGCTGCAGGTCTTACAGAACTTGCATTTCATTTAAGCATTAAGGAAATTTTTAAGTAGTATTTGTGGTAGAATACTTAAGCAAGACGCAGAAGAGCTCTTTTGCTTCAGCCAATGGAGTACAGTAATAAATGTGTCCAAAAAATAGGAACACACTATAATTTAACAGCAAAATTCAAACCTATTTGCTACTCAAAATACAACTCCCCTTTCTTTGTCAATCATGCAATCCAATTTATAACCTTAGAGCTGTAAGGTATTTTCTGTTATTCCATATTTACACAAAAGGTGTGTAAAAACCCACCAGGCATCAATAACAGTCATAATCAAAGCTTCCAGTTACTTTCATTCAGCAGTGACATAAAATCACTTCCTGTCAGTACATCAAAGCATTTCCATGTAAAGTGCTGTGTCGAAAAGACTGTTATTGATACTAATACTGGCACTTGACAATTCCAGCCCTATGCATTTCTTTTTCTTTCCCTCTCCCACCCTCTCTCCAGTACTCCTCCCTAACACAGATACACACACAATATAAAAGTACTGGATACACTAACAATAGATGTAGCCATAAAGTTTAAAATCTATCAACCCTTCGCTGACTGGGAATGCTCTTAGCAAAAGGAAGTCACTTAACCTGTTACAATATGCAAGCAAAGAGGTCGTGATTATATTTCTGCCCATGAACATTACATGATACTCATAAGCAGTAATGACATATAGATTGGTTTTGTTAACTCACACAGAAGCTGCATTTATACTAAGAAATGCTCCACAACTGAGATAGAGATGTTCCAAATCTGTAGAAAACTATACAGTGTTCTCTTAACACCCGATGCGCTTCAGCACATCTTTGATGGCAATACAGCTTTCAGAATTAAATCCAACCAAGCACAAATAGGTAAATTAGACTTTTAATCACTGAAGAAATAGGATTAGATTCTGCTTGGAATACAGTGAACAGGATGCAACTCTACCCGAGAAAAGGTGATACAACTTATTTTAAACTTGCCACATACCGGATGACTTCCTGAGGGATATTTAGCTGGTCATATTTGAGATGCTCTCTCAGGTCACTTAAATAGTTCAGGTAAGTGATTTTTTTCCCAAACTTATGACTAAAAAAAAAATACATAAAAAAATAATCACAAAGAAGTATAAAAATCAGCATGGGAAGACCATTTACGAAGGGTTTAGTTTCTATTACAAAAATGTAAGTGCTGATGCAACTCAAAATTAGACTGTAATTGAAGCAGCAGGAGACATAAGATGTATTTCATTTCATATGATCAAACATATACAGTGCATCCCTGAGAGTCTGATTTGAATAAAAATAACTGACTTCCATCTGAATGTTTTGTGATTTGCATAGATATGAAAAACACTGCTTTAAAAGCCACTGAAAAACAGCTCTCATACAGCATTAGAAAGCTTACAAAAAGAACTGTTAACTTAGGAGAAAATGTTACATGGCCAACAGAACAACATGCTTGTGTTATTTAGGCATCCCTCCCTGCCAAAAGACAAAATCATGGGGCTGTAGACACAAACTATGAAGTAGTAAGCAACAGGCAAGATTTTCAAAACGGGGATAGTGTTGGGCCATCAGCTTTACCTATTTTGAAAAGGGCTGGAGAGCTTCTAGGAAACATCATGAATAAGCAGCTTTTTCTACGAGTTGCACAAATTGGAAGCACCAAGTATCACTAGTATAGCTCTTAAGTTTCAGGCAGAATACACTACTTACAGGCTGAGGTGTTCAAACAAAGTTCAGCGACACATTTATACACATTGTCTGAAATAATTTCCTATTTTTTCACGACACGAAATATCTGTCCTGTAATGAAGTGTCAAGCAAAATACTAGGTGTTCATGACAAAAAGTATACTTTGCTGCAACTTACTTTGATAGTAGAATTCCAGAAAAATTCTCTCGCATTAATGAATTCATCCCTGGATTGTCAAACACACATACACACACTCCCTCTAGTGGGAGATGGTACAAATATAAGTCACTTCAGCATTTTCAAAGCTTTTAATTGAAATAAGCTAAAATTTGCTAGCAGGCAAGCTAGCAAGGGGACACTGATGGATATCGGTCCGTGTGTTTACAACTTCGGAGCTCTTCAGTGTGTCTTTATCCAAAAAAGCCTGTGATTTTGATGTCTTACCTAAGCCATGGGCTTAGCACAGAATTCTCCGTAAGTAATCACCTCTGGTAATACAGGACATGTTACAGAACACATTCATTTGTAATTAACTCGTGGGCAATTAGGAATTATTGCTGTTCCTTAAAAATGCCACATCACCACCACCACCTAAACGTATACTAATTTGATAGTAGGTGGGTGGCTTCTGTTAGCTCACACACAGAAACCTTCTCCTCTTATAGTTTTCTTGCAGTTTGGAAAAAATACATTTGACTTAACAGTACCTTTTTGCTCATCTCTTTTGGGACTGGAAAGGAAATCAATCAACTTCTGGAGCTTGAAAAATTCTAAGTATTTACATTTTCTTAAATCTTTCAAATACAAGTATGCTAAAATACTTATTACTTTTGTTCTTCACTCTAATAATTCTGTCATTCGTCCAGCTCTTAGCAAACACATTGTTCACGTCAAAGTACTTAGGCCATGTACTAACAGGTACCAAATGTACTAACACAGCTCCGAAAATAAATGCATGTTTCTCGATAATGGAATTTACTTTACATTTGTGATTTTTATTGGAAACGCTATCTACAAATGAGTCCGGGCTACAATTCAGCAAAGCTAGAAACAGAAAGTCCAGAGGATTTTTCCGCCTTCTTTTTGTGAACTTTGGTTTAATATTGACACCTAAATAAAAGTAGGATCTGCTAAGATAAAGATTATTCTAAACTGGAATGAAAAGGTACTGTGAACAAATTGTAAATTGTACTACTCTAGTAAATTAACAATATTAATCCCGTTTTAGTATCAAATGAGAGTAAAATTGAGGCAAATTGTACGTGGGCACTTTCCCACTTCAGTTTTAAATTTATATGCTTATGTTTTCCTTTACTTGACAAACCCAAACTTGAGTTAAACCAAACCACAAATGCATGTGAGCATTTGGTAATTAAACCATTTTAGGCAGTAAAGAGTGTTTTTTCCTAGCTTCAGCTAATTCCTGCCTTCTGGCTTATTGACCTTTTCAGAGTTTACTCATACTTTCAATTATTTTGTCAGTGCCAGTGTACAAATATCTTTATTTCTGTTGGTCACATATTTTGACAACAGAGAGTAGAGTGTTGCAAAATCAGACTCAAATCAAGTATCCAGGTATGCATTGGTACAAGTCCAGCACAAACAAGAACAGCCAATCCTGATGATAGCAGAGTGTTCAGAAGGTCATGATGATGATGCATCTAAGATGACAAGTCCCGGTTTGAATTTTCTATGCTAGATATGAATGCTTAACCTTATCAGAATCACCCATTTTCATATCCAAAATTAAGGATATAATTGCCAGTGTATCATTTTTTTTCCAAGAAAAAAAAGTATTCGTCTTATTTACATAGACATAGTAAGATCCAGGGAAAATGATTATTTGGAGCAGGTACATTTAAACTTCTCTTTTGTAAGAATTAGCTGCCAGTTATTACAGTACAATTATTACAAGTCATATAACACAGTTGTTGTCCAGCTGTGGCTCCACTGAGTGCATTAACATGCACAGAATGAAAACCATTGGTGTCCCCAAACCGCTTGCTCGGACCTATTCCCAAGGAGCTCTCAGCTGCCTCTGAGAAAAAAGTTTCTTTTACTTAAGTGCTGTACTGTACATCTAGAGGAGTTCTGGTTTTATTGTTGGTTTGTGTTCTTTTCTACAAGGCTCTCTATACCCATCCTACAGCAAATCAGGAACAAAAAATATCCATCCCCACTCCTGAGGTACTACCAGCTACTGGACCTCCTGCTTCTGTCACATTTTTCCCACCATTGGTCTATGTCCTGCATCTCTGGCGTTTATTTTACTGCCAGTTAAAATAAAGATCTATAGTCAGTCTTGTTTCAAGAACAGCATATTCTGGAAGGATTTTTAGCTGTAACTACTTTTTTATTTTCACATGCTTCTTACATGTTCTGATCTGTCTAAAAGTTAAACTTCCCCTTTCTAATTAATTAGCTTTCTACCAGTCAGAACTGAATCAATTGCAAGGTACTGTAATAGTTGTTTCACTATGGCTTCTCAAGATAATCTGTTTTCGTCCTTCAGCCCTGAGGACATTCATAACATAATCCGCAAAATGCTAGAATTGTTTTGAAAGTGGCAGAAGTTCAGGAGCAGAAGCTAAGAGAGCCCACCCATCCTAGCACTTAGCATTATCTGCCCATTGTTGCCGGTTCTTTGTAGGTAGCATCAATTTTTACCATGCAAAGAAAAAGAATGCACCACTAAAACACATCCACCTTCACCGTTATACCATCCACCTCAAATTCTTATGGGCACTTCAGGGCTTATCCATGAACTTTGAATACACATTCTTATTCATCTCGGCACTCGAGATCAGACCAAAGGTTAACCATCTATTATCTGCTTTACCGTACCACCTAGTAACTCCAGTCACGGACCCAGTTCTATTGTGCTAAGTGCTGTCAAAGAAGACAAAAAAAGTCATTCATGGTCCGCAGAATAACTATGTTTTAAAGTGATATTTACTTTAACATATGAGTAAAACTACTATGAATTGAGACTCCCAGTTCTTAGAAAGAACTCTACCCTATTATTCATACCCAAGCTTATGCTCACCTTACTCATTAGTTCAAGACAGTTTAAATGGCTATTGTGCTGTTACCTGACATATTTTACCTCAACCCTTTTTAAAAGCAACTTACTAGAGAACAAACCATCCTTAAACTAAATGGGAAAATGTGTTGAATAAACTGCCAAGTACCTTATAAGAGGTTTAAAGATATTCCACAGAATTTTTATGAAGTTGGTTGGATGTACAACATAGAGTGCTTTAAGGTTTTTCTTATACCTAGGAAAAGAAAATGAAATTGTTAGAAGACTTTTGAATATCACAGACAGTAGAACTGAATAGCTACAACTGAATGGGAGGTATTAATACAGGAACATTATACAGCAGTCTTTTCAAATACATTAAAGAGACTTAATTCAGAAGAAACTGAATGTAAAATGAAAAAAAACCCCAATTTTAAAAAATGGACAGTTTTGATGATACAATAGTAGGCCAAGATAACACTATTACATTCCTAACCAATGTCTGCTGTCTCATAGGTTTAATAACAGGAGGACAGAAAGGAAATTAGGCAACTCAAAAAAAAATTGAGAAGAGAATGAAAAGTCTATAAAAAATTCTGTGATATAAAAAATTACTTTTCATTATCTCCCTTTATTTTCTGCTTACAGGATTTTCATGTTGGAGAAAATTTCTAAAATTTTCAGATACAAAATTTACATCTAATCTTTTGTTTTTACCACTACTTTTGTCTTTTTTTGCTAGTAATTACTAAAGGTGAAGCCAACTGCACACTGTTCTATTTTGGATGGTCCCCTTTATATGAAACAAAAGCCTTTCTCCGTTATAGCATTGCTTGATTCTACTCTGTCATATCATGATAAATCAACAACAGATTCTAGTAGGCTGAAACTGAAATGGAAACCAGGCTGCACAAAAAGACTCTGCTCTTATTCAATGCTATTGCAAAATGAAACTGAGAAATGCATAATGAAATATCCTGCTTTTATATATAAATTGTTACTTATTACTTTGCCAAGTTTGCTTCCCAGTAGGGACCACCCCTCCTAAGTTTTCACCATTCATTCTGAGAAAAAAAAAAACACAATCATGGGAAAAAATGACTGTGAACTCCTAAGAAAAACCTTCTTGTAAGAGGTTATGACAAGAGGCAGAAAAGGGACCAACTCAGCAATCACAACAGTTTTTCCTTTTGGGTTTTAATTGGGCCGATACATTTTTGATTGAAAAAAGCATTGTTTTCACAAAGCCACTATCATACACAAGCAAACAACTGTCCCTGTGCAATTGGCACCACTGTGGATAGGAACCCAAAATCAACAATAAAGACTAACAAGCAAAACACCTCAGTTGCTTTACTGAAGTTTCTATTTTAAGTTTGCTTTGTATCTTGAAGCAATGGGCATAAGCCATTGCTTCTGTGAAAGTTCACACACTTCATAGTTTCCTAGATTACAATTAAATGTCCACAAGACTTTACTGAGCCCCTGCTGTAAACCTTCAAAGACAGATCTGTTCTTTTGAAACTGTTCCTGTGGCACATTTGCTTCCATGATACTAGCGAATTACTATCGTCCCTTCTACTTTCCTTTGTTCTCTCTTTCCTTTAACCCTCAAAACACACACAGGGTAGAAGTCTGAAAGGTGCTTCCCCTCACCTCTGGCTAGTACAGCAGAACATACACCTAGGGCTGTGAATATCGCTTTGAGTTTCTCAATGACAGTACACTAAGAAATCCCAACTGTGAATAAAATGATGGGTGTACGGTTGGCATGGTTTTGCCCAGCTGCCTGGGCTTCTCTGTTCCTTTTTGGTTCTTCTGCTTTCTGGGTCAGGGTAGGGAACGGAGAAAACAGATTTGGCATAAATGAGAGGGACTTTGTACAGGTGAAACGTACGTATGTCAGAAGGCAACAAAACTGAAGAAGATACTGCCTTCATACTTCCTCTCCCCATACAGCAACTTTAAATTTAGCTTGGGATTCTCCTAGAAGGAAAACAGTACAGTAGGGCAGGCTTCCAACTCCATACACTGCTTTTTTTTTTTCAGGAATTGTCAGTGCAGGCCAAAACCCAGTATTGTAGTCCAAATCTCTCACCAAAGACAAAATATAAGAGATCCTTCACCTTTCTTCTCCCTTACCCAATCCCAGAAAAAAAAAAAAACAGATACACTGTACTAACCATATTTGGAAACTCAGCAGCAAAACCAAAAAGCTTTCTCAGTCTGTTGCTCAGTGGAGAGCAATATCTCATGCACAACCTCATCTTCTTGCTTAGTGGGTTTTAGAGTCTCAGGTTATTGGGTGAGATTCAAAAGAGTCTGAGCTCTGGCACTAGAGCACCGGAAGGCATTTTGCACATCTCAACTTCAATTTTGAAAGCAGGGTGCGCAGTCCTGTGAAATGCTCAGGCATTTACATCCCAGTCTAGGCCAGAAACACCCAACAACCTTTTTCATGGCATCTTTTATGATATTTGCTTCTTGTTTCAGCTCCAAAATTGAAAAAGTCAAACATGTATGATCCATCCCCCCAAAATGCACCTGCACACATGCTCTCACTATCAGGAAAGAGCTATTTTTGCTTCCAGTCATGTTGCCCTCGAGGCCAACTTACAAGCAAGTAGACCAAGTAACAACTTGCAAACTAGACTAACTGACTTCAGCATAGGAACTTTCCGCTCCACAGGAAAGCATGCATTTTCAGAGAATAAACATCAGAACTTTAGTTTACACTGTTAAAATGCTGCTTATCTAGGAGCTTTGGCCTTGACTGCACCCTAACCAACTAGAACATGAAGCCATGAGCCATAGCCATTGTTACTCCAAAGGTCAGGCATATACGAGCACAGCGGTCCCTTCGGAGCTTTACATATAAAAACCAACGAACGCCACAAGGGTGGAGTGATACGCACTGTTAAAAACTAACCTTTCCTGTTTTGTATACAACCTAGCCTCAGGATGATCAAAGGTCCAAACACAACTGTGAGATAATCGAGAATGACCACTAATAAGTTGTCACAGGTATCTCATTCAATAGTGCACAAAAAGGGCAACGGCTCTTGGTTTTGTTCCCAAGGCTTTTTATAACTTTGGATAATCACTGCAGCACTCAGGCCATTCCTTAGTACTGCACAGAAGACACTTAGAAGACACCAACAGCACCAATATCATCACAAGAATTTGCAATGGCAAAATGAACTCAGTTAGTTGCAGGCAGATCAGGAAGATACGCTTCCTTCATGGAAATTAGTTACAGACATTACACAACCCAAGGAGTAAACCAAATATTTTGGAGACATACTTCCTGTCAAATTCTTTGTAGGCTGTTTGTAACCATTTCAGAGATGGTTTATTCAAACTCTTCAGGCCATAGTGAAAGTAGACGACCGTATAATCATTCTCTACATACTGGTCCAGAGTATACTTTAAGTACCTGAGGAGAAAGGGAACATTTTAGTTTTAAGAGAGTTTACTGGATGAGATTTTTAAAGCAGTAACTGAGAAACAAAATGTGCTGGTTTTGCACAGAATGCTAGTGACTGCAAATTCATGTTTGCTTCAATTTATTTATCTAACAAGTACATCTTCCTCTAGTGGCAGTGTTGCCAGCAATTCCACATCACTGCAAAGCCTGCAATTTGAAAGAACATATTTAGTTACAAAAACTACAGTGCTCATGAATCATTAAAAGATGAAGACAATATGGGACTGTGTTTTCCAAGACATTTTTAAAAAGATGCATTTCAACTGACTGCAACTTCTATTTTGCTTTCTTCTGGTCTTTCTAAATTCCTTCCTTTTAGCCAAGCAAACACTGTCATTTTGACTTTTCAAAATAAAAGAGAATAAATCTTGGGTTTTCCTCTCAATTTAAAACTTTTTGAATACTTGAAAAATCCATTAGCCCTAATTACTGCCAATTACAACTTGCTACTGTAAATTGTTTTCTTGAATGTATTTGCCTCCTTTGTTTGTATTTTGGGGACTGTGTTCATAGATCATTTCCTTTAAAACTAATTTAAAGAACTACACTACTTATCCCATCTTGAAATAATACTGCATGTTTTATAAGCAGATTTCTTTGTGTTCATTCGTTTATGGTATAGTTTAAGATGCTTTTGTCTTCCCTTTCTCCTACAATTGAGAACACTATATGCCCTATTACACAGCTCAATGATTCAAATAAAGCAATGATGTAGGAGTACAATCTGGCCTCATCTCTTGCTGCGTCAGGTTTCAACTTTCTCATGTCATTCTCAATGCTATCTTATTATTCTGCAACAGAGCCCCAGCTATTTCTCTTAATTGTATGTAAGCGATTTTCATTCAATAAAATAGATATTCCATGTGCCATTTGTTCAGTTGTGGCTATCTGCAAGTATCAAGGCCACTTGGACTACACAGCTTTGCATGGAAAAGCCCATAACTTCGCTCTTATGCTGTACTCCCACAGTCTCACTTATCTGCTTATTCCCTCAGCAAATCTTAGACTGCGAATTGCCTGGGACTGCCACTGCAATTAATATAATGCTGTTTTGATCCTAGACTTAAGTATTAATGGTATTTTAATGAAGAAGTAGTAGTAGTAACAGTCATTCTTCAAAAAAAAAGAGTTCAAAAATAAAATATATGTAAACAGATACTGTTAGGTACAGAATGCCTTGTGTTTTATTTTACAGCATGTAAATTCATTGGCATATCACATACAGGAAAGCCTGTATTTCTAAAAATAAATTGAGAGAATTTTGTGGGCATAAAATAACCAGTATTTTTGTACAGTCGATTACCTGTTCCAGGGCTGTAACAGAATTGCAGGGACACTACAAAAGCTTTACCAAATCAATTCTTTAAGTGATTTCATCACAAAATAACTACCAATCCAGGTCTACTCGGCAGTTTTTCCTCAAAACCCAACATCTGGGTCTAACTACCCAAAAGCAGATCACTTGATAGCTATATTGCTAGCTTCACATTCGGACACCTGCCTTCAGTTCCCTCTTAGCACAGACATCCCAAGTGAATTTGTTGTGGACTCAGATACAGGAAAGCATGTAAGTGTTCAAGTCCAGAAGAGTCTAAGGGCTGGAAATCCTAGTTTCATGAAGGTGCCTCCTCGCAGAACTGAGGAAGGGTTCTTAGACCTGGTAGCAACATGGTTTGTCACACTCCTTTCTTTGGCATTTCCTATTAATGACTGCAGGTAGCTCCTCTAGGTGAGGAGCTGACTGGCGTGGCTCTTCCTCCTAGGCACTAACGTTCCCTCTGTGCTACACAGAAACTTCTGGCATAAGGCTGTGGAAATCACCCTAGGTGTGAAGAGCATACAAATGAAGCAACATGGTCTCAAACACATCTCTTAAATAACCTGCCTTCTAATCCCTCTCTGTTTCTGAAAAGTTGAGATAAGAGCACTTCGGTCCTTTCCAAAGGTGGTGTGTACTGACAGCTGAAAGGTGCTTAAACATTTTGGCAATGGAGGCTGTACAAGAAATCCAAATTGGTTTAAAATGCTTAATAAGAACAGGACTGTCACGGCAGAACAGATCTCCTTGTAGTGACAAACTACAAGGCAGAAACATGTCCTGGTACCTTGCTGCAGCAAGTTTATACGGAAGAATGTTGTGATTTTACATATTCACAATCTCTTTGAACACAAAACCCCAAACACTACAAAGTGAGATACATATAAAAATGTTAAGCATTATATATTCTACATAATGCAGATCTTTTTATAAAAAGAGGAAAGCCACTAAGATGTAAATAACTAAACAATGCTCTTGCTGAGTGATTTAGGAGATAAAGTATAGGAAATTAAGGCAAACACTACTATTCATGAAAACATATGTACAGAGCACTAAAATACTAGAATTTCTCTTTCATTGGTCCTCATGATAAATTCAATTTTTCAAATACTATTAGAATTCATTAATAAAAATTAAGACAACAAGTTAATTTCAGTACACAGTGAATTTCTTCTTCTAGTTATGATTCCAGGTGAAGTAACTCTGGCAGTTTCATCCACACCTCATTCAGTTAATATTAACACTAGTAGGGTCCTACATCCTTTTTTCATTTCACTCCCCGCCTCCTGCTTTTCCTCCCTGAGAGCTCATTCACCTGGAAACAAACTAATAGGAGTTCATGTATAAAATGTAAAGTAGTCCACGCAGGAGATTGAGAGAAACTTACTCCAGCAATCTGGTGTGATTGAGCTGATGGGAGGGGGGCATACGGCAGCAACTGAAGGTAATCACCTTCCGTCCAGAATTGTCATCACCTATTGAACAAAACAGTTAGTAAAGACAACGCTTATTTACTTATGCAATGGGACTTCAGTGATCTGAAGGAATGGCTTGTATCTTCTGGCATTTGGGGTTACCTCTATCTCCCATCATTATTCAAAACATACTGCAAAACTTCCCTGTCAAATCACATGTTGCCTACAGAAAGCAATTTGGCAACCGCTGCAGCGCAACAAAGCAGCTGCTGGGCAAATGCGGAAGCTAAGCTGAGAAAGTCATATTCAAAGGTGGTTGGTGGTGCTCAGCTCCTGACAGGGAACATTCAAGTCCTCCTGCAGCTTTCAGTCATGGAAGAAAACAGGCCTGCTTTCCCCAGGAGTCTTGGAAGCGACCTCTTTTAAAACTCTTCATGCTTTATTTCTGGAATGTATCAGAATACCGCTCTGCCTACAAGCACTTTGGGCATTTGCTTTGTCACACATGTAAGTCAGATTTTTTTTTTAACCAATGTAAGCTTTCTTAGATACTCTTTTCCAGAAGCACCACTACATTCAGATCACATTTAAAACGCAACAAGCAAGGCATACAAACACGCTTTTCATAACCTGAAGATCCCCAAGTGTCCTTCCCTTCGTTCCTCTGACAAAGCATATATTGCTGCACTCAACTTCATTTACTCCTTGACTCATGACAGCGTCACCCACGCTGTCTGTATAGACAAGGTTGGTGTTCATGCCATGCCCACCCCACACCCAGGTTCCACTATCTGGAAAGCCAGGCACAGAGGTTAAATCATGCTCATACTGAAGGTAACTCAGCACTGAAGACTGTGAGGTGTTTAACATTTTAACATTTATCTACATGAAAGATGCCATTCCTTTTAAAGCAATACAGAAACATCCCAGAAAATGTTTAGACTGGATTTCTACTTCAGACATTCTTGGTCTAATTTCAATGTTCAAACTAAATGATATTTAATACTGGCTTCTATTGCCTCTAAAACATCAGAGTTTAGCTTCGATATCTGTAGGAGTACAATAAAGCTAAGAATTGAGGGTATTTTCGATATTCTTTATAATTCTGTAGCTCCCCTTCTACTCCTAATCAAGTGAGTAGTTGTAATGAATAAACAAGTAAAAAAAGAAGTAAAATGGGGGAAGTTAAATCTGTAATGGATTCACTAAACAAGTAAATAAAATCATATGAGCATTTCTATGAAAACTGGTTAGAACAGCTTCAGACCGCTTCTTAAGCTGTTTCTAATTTGTAGCTTTGCAAACACACATTTTCCACGAAAACCCATCACTGACAGTAATACGCTTTCCTCCATTCAACTCAGGAAGAGGCGACTGTCCTCACCTAACAGATTCCACACTACAAAAAAACCATCCTGTATCTGCTTTGTCTAATTCCTACCTAGTTGTGCTCAAAAAAGGTCATGATGGGACGGCATCTATTTAAACCCATTCTGTTTTAGGTGCAGAAGGACAAAAAGGAGGGAAGAAGCGAGATCAACGCTTAATGACTTTTCACTTATGAACATGGACTGGGAGACATCTTCTGCATTATCAGTTCCAAGCCTGTGTTACCACCAGGATCTGTACCACATAATCCTTCCATTGATTTGTTGAGCAGTATTTTACAAAACAGTTAGATTTTTTCTATTTCTAGCTCCTCCTGCTCACTGTTTTGACAACTAGCAACCTGCTTTCTCAATTCCAGTCTAAAAGTCATAGCAAGTTTGTCCCAATTTCTTTGTGAGACAATGACATCACTCGGCTGAAGGAGCACTTCTCCTTCAGTACTATTTACCATCCCACATGACTCTCTAGACAATAAACATATCCTCTCCCAACCTGTATTACACTGCTTGTAAACAAGTTAGATTTTTTGGTCTCTTCCCCAAACTAGCTACCCTCTACCCTGCCCCAATCGGAATGCATCTTTCCTAAACATGGGTGACAAGAGTTAGATAATAAGTAGCAGATGAACATCACATACAGGACTTAAAAAGGTTTCCTAACAATATCAACATCATTTGTCTTTACTGAGAGCCAAGATAAGTATTAATTTAGTTTGACGGCTATAGCTGGATTATCTCTGATTGCCACCCCACTCTTATTTCACAGAAGATAACTTCTCTCTTTTTTTATTTATACAACCAAAGAAACTTTTACTATTCATTTTAACATCTTTAAAGACCTAACTCAGCTTGAATTTTGGCAATTATCACTTGTAGTGATAGTAGTCCTGTAGTTTTGACTTCCAAAATATAGCTTTCTCTGCTGTCTGGTTCTTTCCTCCTCTCCTTCTTTGACTGACTGCTTATTTTCATTATCTTTCTCAAAGGTGTTTTTTCATCCCACAAGGCCTGGTGTCCTTTAAAGTGGTGTCCACTTTAAAAAAAATATTCTGACTCCTGGGTTAGATAAGGTGCTTGAGCACCACTAAAGGAAGAATATGCACAACACCACAATTATATGGACTCAGGTATGTCTGCATATTGTTTTTAAACAGACAATGATTTATTTCCTGAAGTTATTTTTAAGTGTCTTATTTGATATTCTCAGAGTACTTATAAAGGCATTATAATGTGACATGCATTAATATGAATGATGTACTAAAATTAAATTAAAACATTAATAAAAGATTGTTCTCTAAATCATGACTTGTTTGTGAAAAAACGGCTGTGTTACAATGCACTGCAGAATATTTTATTCGTTAGAGGCAAGCATTTTTATGAGTAAAATAAATCTAAGAAAGGTTTCCCATTAAATTACGAAATGAGTCACTAATTGTTACTGTTGGTCACATTCAATTGCTTGAATTAAAAGGCGGAAAAAAATAACCAGCTTCAGAAAAGACTGCAAATAGATACACTCAGAACACTAACAAATATAATTGCCCAGTTTCAATAATGGGAATACTGAGGCTGAGAAACTTTCCCAAAATTACCAGCAGAGCCGAGCACCTCATTCTCCCACCCTGCAGCGTCACATAGGCAACAAGAGCAAACCAGAAAAGGTGACCGAGAACCTCAAATTTATTAAACACTAAATAAAGCAGAGCCGGCTTCCTGTTAGTGATGAGAGTTAATGAAAGGAACGAGGCTGCCCTTTCTTCATAGGCATCAGTAACGTTTTGAACAACATCAAATTTTAACATGACACACAAAGTGCTGATCAAAACAGAAAGAGGCATCCCTTGCCCTCCACCAGAAGGGCTGTGACTGTGCACCCTGGGAAATTCCCATCGCATTTGCTTCCCAGTCCGACAGTTTGAATCCCATGACCTCAAGGATAAAATTTTTACCTAAACATGTGGAAGTGCAGTTTGAAGGGTAAAATGGGGAGTGGCAGTTATCTGCACGTTCAAAGGAGAGTGTAATTTCAAGTATGCAGATTTTAAATCAGAACACAGTATATTTTTATCCCACAAAACCTCTATTTCCCTACGACTTGAACTTAAATAAGATAGAACTGAAAGATGTCTCATTTTCTAGAGGGGACAAAGCAAAATTGAAGTGCAACATCAGCTTTGCTCCTTCATGTTTCACTTTCAGGTAAAAAAATGTAGTTTTGTACTAACCTACTTTATTTCAGAGGCTAATGTCACCAAACACTTTCAGGTGAAAGCTGATAACCTGTTCTACCCTCCCTGGAAAACATGCTCCTCTCCTTACCTTTCTGTACTGGTTTTGAGCTTCGGATATTTAGGAGGCATTCCCAAAGACTGACTGCCTTAACTGCTTGGGCACTCATACTCCCCTAGCCACCTACCTATGCCTTTTTTTTTAAAGCCACTGGCTCAGATAGAAAAGGTCTGATCGACTTCTCTCGCCCATGGGTAGGAGGCTCCTGCCTTTGGATCGGGCACTTGCTATCTGCAGGCGTTCCCAGGCAGCCGCAGGATTATCAGCTGTGTTGGCTGCGGAGCCACTCCCGGGAGCAGAGCACGGCGACGGCAGCCTCCTCCTCTGCGCTCAGTGAGCAGAGTGGGGTGTGTAGAGAACAAGATTTATGCACATTAAAATACAAGCTACCCGCTAAGGTTTTATTTGTCCGGATTTCCCTGAAACAGACATGAATCATACATCGCTTCTGATATCAAACTTCGCAGTAGAAAAAAAAACAAGTTACAGTAAGACACGGGGAAGAGCAAGTAGGAAAGGGGATCGTTCTACTTTTTAATTAAGAATTTGGATGGCACAGCACTTCCTAACTGCTTCTTGCAAATGAAAATTTTTTTTTCTAATGATACAGCTCACTCCAATTTGCAATTGAGATATTTTGAACACTGTAATTTTAGCATGACTTTTTAAGAGCTTTTGTTCTGATGATACTAAACATTACTACTTTATAAGTGAAAAGTGAAATATCATTTCACTTCACTGAAGCTTGTCGTTATCACATTACTGCAAAACAAAGCCTAAAGGCTTCTTCCAAACAGAAGGTTTGTCATTGGTTTCAACTGGAGTTGAAGCAGGGTCAAAATCCAGAGGACTTGCCACAACAGTGAAAACACTTGCTCACATATTCATTTCTTTCATAGAATTCAAGCTAGTGAAATCGAGCCTCAATTATGCTTATAATGCCCAGACAAACCTGGCCATTCCAAGCCTCCTTCTACTCTCTGTGACTCAGGGAAATACGTGGTTGCAAAAAAAGCCATCATGAAATTTGTGTGTTTTGCCTAGGCTAAGTAACAGACAGTAAATACACCCGCAACCAGCCCGCTGTGGGTCTCTGCCCATCCATAAAGGCAAACTTCTTAGTCAGTTAAGAAATACATAGCCAAGATAACACAGCTGAGTCTCAACATTAGCAGGAGAAGCTTACACCTTTAGCTGTAAAAAATTGAGTCCTCTTTCTCCTGGCATTGATCACCTCAGATGATCACATGAAAATACATTAGAACAGATATCAGCCAGCTGAAAGATCAAGTATTAAAATATCCATTATACTGTTTAGCCTTTGGGACGCAGACCAGACCCACCAAGGAAACTGGGAGAATGACAACAACTTTAAATTCCAAGAGTCAACTCGTATCGATTTCACAAAGTTCCCTTTTTGCATTCATTCCTCCGGATTCCACTTATGTCCACCTGTTTATTTAGAAACTAACTTTCTGTGAAAGGATTGCACCTGTACTGCACCTGGTTAATTCTGGCTACAATTGCAATTAAAAACAAACACACTCAGATGTATTTCTAAATAGGAATGACTATGAGTGAATGTTCAGGAGATTTCCTACGTCAGGAACCTTGTTCATTCCCCTCTTTCTGAAGGGGATTCCTCCATAAGCAATTTTTGTTTTTTATTTTGCCTAGGAAAAATACTTTGCCATAGCACTTTTTTTTTTTTTTCAGATAAGCTGAAAGCAAAGCAAAAGTTTGCTTTTTAATAATAGTTATGTAAATATTAATGTAAATAATTATTTACATTTCAGCTGTGCTCCTCAAAGTGTAAAATAACTTGAAATAAGAGAGAGTTCCTGAAGCTAACCTCTCTAATGTCTGTACAGTTCTATCTGGCCGACTCTCTGGACTAGAACAATGCTTTAGTCTTAAAAAGTGGCACTGAAAATCAAAACTGCTTTCCGTGATGCAAAATTAAGTATTTTGATAATTCACAGAAAGCATAAAAGAAAATCTAAGGAAGCAAAGAAACAGCAGAATAGTCAAACAGGGAATATAATTTACATTTACTTGGTAAAGGAGAAATAGTGCTAGGCTTTTCTTTTTAATAAGGTATATCGGGTGTATAATGACTTGTGGTATACTGTCAGGATACCCAAACTTAAAATTGAGTTCACATTAACATATGAATCTGGCACTTTGAGCCATCGTTTATTTTAGCAAGCCTGTTGCTCTACTAAATGATGTCTAAAGCAGACCCATTATATTTTCTCAGATTCAACAAGAAAGCACGTCCATATATTTTGCTATAATTAACTCAGTTCTGTCTTTAAAAAAGACACTATAACTTACAATCTGAAGTTCAAAGGAAGGAATGCGGTAAATAAGAATTTAGTTCCTTTCACATTCTGAGAAGAAAATTGTTGGAGAAAGAAGCAAGAGGAAAACCAGTGCAGAATTTGGAAAATCCGAGCTCAATTCCTGCCTAAGGATTTTGAACCCATGTTTCTATCACTCTGGCAAGTTCCCTCTTCACTAGAGCAGGAAATACTTTTCACTGATATCGACCCTTATTTTGGAGAGAAAATCACAACACCACCCAAATGGTTAGGACGTGTTTTGTAAAGTGCAAAGCCCACACTAAAATCTGTTCTTGTGCGACAAACAGGTTACGAACCAGAGCCCTCAGCTTCCTTCTTGAAAAGTGCCCAAGTCTTAGGTCTCTCCAGTTGATTTGTTGTTTTCCCCAAAAGGGTACCGGTGAAATAATGTCAGAGATACTGATTTCAGGAATATCCTTCGGAAGTAAAAAAATTAACGAAGTAAATATTGTAAGAAAAAAATAATAATCTTTAAACACAGTTCTTTCCTGTGGTACTACCATTTACAGACTATAGATCTGCTCCTAAAGGTATTGCAAGAAGTAGCAAAGCTGTCACTGAGATGGACTGAAAATTATTAGGACTTGTGTCTTCGGCTTATTAAGTAATTCACAAAACCTAAATTACAACTTTACCTTTCACAGTCTGATCTACATAAATTACTACTCTAATCAGTTTCTAAGGCACTGGTTCAAAATCAGAAATGGCAATGAAATCAACTGGATCTTGAAGAAAAATATGGTTACTCTCTAGAAAGACCCAGGATAGATACCTGAAATGTTTAAATATAACTAGAAAAGCAATAAAAGGCTAAGAAGGGAAATACAGATTTAAAACAATGATGGACTTTATTTCCATTAAAAAGTTTTGTCAAACACATAAAGGGATGTAACTGGTAGTTAAATGAAAACACAAACATCAGAGACACAGTCCTACTAAGTAAGCACATAATCAAAAAAAGGTACTGCCAGAAGTTGTCAGCAATCACATCATAGAAACGAACTACAGAAAATAAGAAAGCTTGATGCATCACACATGCTTATATGTCCTTTCCTTTTTGCCACAAAGAAAAATAATCTTGAGTTTCTTTTTAGGCAACAGACTGAAATTTCTCCTTCAAAACCGAAATAAAAAGAACCAGCATTGCAGCACTGTTCCATTTACATATGCTTAGAGCAGTCAGCTGTACATTGGTATTAGTGACAGAAATCAGTCTGTGATTAACAAACAATTATTAAAACTTACATCTTTTAAAGTGCCCCCTATTCTCATTTAATTAATTGTATTTTCACACTGTATGAATACAACTCAAAAAATCTCCTTTGCGTATAGTCAAATCCATTGTTATGGAAAGCAGGTATGAGTCATTTTGATTTGTGAGAAGCAAGAAGGCATTTTGGAGTTTTTTAAAATTAACTGTTGGAATGTAGATCACTGTAAGAGACGGGTAAATTACTGCAAATATTTTCACTTAAATTCTTTCTTTTTCTTCCATCATTTCAAACAATACATTTCATTGTCTTTCAATCACAGAATTTGAACTGAAGGAACAGCTTTCAGAACTGCTTTAAAAAAGCCATTCCAAACCCTGAAATTATACTTTGTCATATTCAAAGAGATATTAAGCATTATAAGATACATACAGATCATTTTAAAATTATTTGTGCAAAAGGGACCGGCCTTTTCCAAGATGGGAAGGAGATCTGAAGAGCTCGTCCTTTCCTCACTTGAATCTAAATCCAGAAAACATGCAAACCTGACTCCACGCCAGTTAACACTGGGGATAGGGAGGTCTCATTTTGTGGAGGTGAAGCATGTCTTTGGATCATATTTCGCCTTCCCCGTGTTCTGCATTCATATGCACACCTCTGCATTCTCCTCTTACATCCCACCATCAGAGCTGCTTTCGAGGGTGCAGACTGCCTTCTGAAGCACAGCTCCTGTCTTGTGCTTCTCATTTAAATTGTCCAGTAGACTTCCAAAACCCCATCATATATTTCTGACTAAAATGGCAGCTACATTTACTCTTTTCTGAGCTTAAACAATGGCTGGAGGACTCTTTTCCCCTGCAAAAGACTGCAGTATTAAGGACAAAACCAACAGAGATAATCCAACATTTCTGCCAAGATTCATCTTGTGAATACCTCCATTTGCTCCAGTGAATTTAAACCAGGAGTATACCTAATGTTTCAACTTTACTTCAAGCAAACACCAATATGGAGAAAGTTCTCTTTTAAAGTGTTAACACGCAGCACTGCCTAATACAGAAGATGGAAGAGGTTCTTAGGTGGACAGCTATAGTGACTCCGGTGCATCCAGCGTGTCTGTTAACACATCTGTTTCACACTTTGTCAGTTTGATTTTAATGGTTTCATTAATAACTTCGGTATCTTGGTATTTCCCCCATCCCAAAACCGGTGCTTGAGTGAGAAACATCCTAGGGGGTTAGCAGGCAGCAGCTTTTGAATCGCAAGAATGTGAATCTCTTACTCCCTTCTTCATGGATTTGGGTCTTAAGTTGAGGGGTTAGTTTCGAAGAAGGTAAAAGGTAATTATTATTCTGTGTCTAACTAGGGTCAAGAAGAGAAATTACTATGGGTAAAATTTGCCTCCCACTATAAGTCAGAAGTCAAATTACCACAGATTTCACTGCCCTAGTCAATCATACCTCACTAGAGGACTGGTTTGCTGAAGTTGATGCTCACCTGGATGACATCCTGTTTATGGCTCAAATTCAGGAAGCTACCTATGTATAACCTGAGTTCATTGTTTTCCTGAAAAATCAACCTAGGTCCACTAAAGTATGAGCTTTAAATCCTGCTATTTGTTTCTTATTGTATACGTTTCTTTAGTTCAGGATTGTGATTATTAATGCTATTTTAACAAACACATTGATGCCAAAAATAAGCCAAAAGGAATACGCAATGCATACTTTAAAGAGGTGCTTTTATATCTTAAATATGCCTGCATGTCTTACACTTTGCCAGGATGTTTTAAAAATAAACAACTGTAAACATTAAATGATCCAATATTCAAATATGCTATGTACCCATAGCTTCTTTCCATGTCACAACAGAAAGTCAGGTGATAAACATTCATGTCAACAGTTTCCTTTCTGACTTTTGTTAGTTTTTACACAGCCATCCATATCTCTTCAGTTGCACACCCTTTCCAGGGCAGATTACAAAAATGATTATGTGTGGCTACACAACATTTCAGGTTACTCAGAAAATAAAACAGCTTATCACAAATAAAGTACAGATCTATTACAGCCACAGTTAGGCCTTAGATTATAATATATTGCTATAGGTATATTTTAAAGCAAGATTAAGCTCAAATATATGGCTCATAACTCATCTGTAGAAAAGCACTGAGTTCGCATATTACTATTCAGCTGCTTTTCAGGGTGAAGGCTGAAAGCATCAACGTGATTCCTATGCATCACCTTGAGGAGTACAGTAAGAAAAATGTGATAAGGGGTATAAGTAAGGTAAAGCCATAGAGTTTTCCAAACATACCTGCTAACTGGATGATGCCATGTCTTGCAACATCATAGTAGGGGTGATTGATATTTAGCTCAGGATCCTCAAGTGGCGGAGGCATAAATGTTTCTTCGTGTTCTGACTGCGTATCTTCCGCTTCATCTTTCTGCAATTCTAAAGGAGCAAGCAAGAATGCTTAAGTGCTGATTAACAGAGAAAAACTTCTGCCTCCGATACATTATTGAACGGTTGAAATTTAGCTCAGTTTGACAAAAACACAGGCTTTTATCACCATTTGTTGCAATTTCAAATAGTTTCTTGTTCCTTACTCTTTCTCATGTGTGGGAAAAGCAACCCTTTACTACCTCAGAGCTACCTTCATGTCCTCCTTAAGATTAAGGTCTACTGTGATGCTCACAAAAATCTCAGCAAAAAACTCTGGCGTGTTGTGACCTTGCTATTCATGACTGCTGGTGTTGTCTCATCATTTCCTACGCTCCCACAATCTGCTTGTTGTATCCATCTACAGCTTCTTGCATTTTATTTCAAGGTTGCCCAAATGGGGAAGTCAAAGTTAGAGTACAGTAACATGTGCATTGACAGCTACTCCACATTAACACCCTGTGTGAATGCTGACAGCAGACTCAATTCTTTGCATAAAGGTAGCAAAGAGCAAACAAATCTCCATCTCACCTCCCTTAAAATCCACCGTTTCCTTGAAATCCTTTAACCTTCTGAACTTGCCAATATGCAAGGCACCCAAACGTCCATCCAGCTTACGCTCCAGCTAGAGGATAAGCAAAGGTCTAAAAGTCTGCTCAAAAGCCCAGTAAAATCAACGGGCATCCTTCCCCCAACTTCAGTAGATTCTGGACTAGATCCTCAAGTTCAAATCTACTCTGCACTGAAATGAGCAACACAAGGTCAACAGATCTTGTTCCAGGGTGGGTTTTTTTGTTTGTTTGTTTGTTTGGGGTTTTTTTTTCCAAGTTTTTTTCCAAACTGATGTAAGGTTCAAAAAGAGGTGATCCTAAGTACATATGCAAACGAACAGATTCTGGGATAATTACTGGCACTAGTGTTTCTACACTATTCAAATGAATGTTTTCTAGAAACTGACTAGAATACGATTCTATTGACACATTAACACACAAGCGTCTTGGTGGGTTAAGAGAAGAAAAGGTACACGTAAAGAGAAAAATTAACGTTCTGATAAGGTGTACTGCACCCTGTACATCATCCATCTCTTACCATGCAAGTTTTAATAAGGTAGAATTAACAGTTTTATCTATAACATTATTACACCACTTTAAAAAGTACTTCAGCAAGTGCCTTCTGATCATCTATGTATTTCATATGCCTTGACCACCACGCAAGACATACTAGAGCAGAAAGAATATATTGATTTCAGTGAGATTTATGTGCTAGTAGCTAATAAGTGTTAGAGAAAAACTCAGTAAATATTTCTGAATGCTTTCCACTCACAGTTTCCCAGTATCTTTCTATCCTATGAACAACTACATGAAAGCTTTATTGTCTCATTTTTATTTTTAACATCGTTTGTACCAAAAATGCATTTCACAAGGATGAAAAATGCCACCAGGGGCTGGGCTTCTCAAAGACAAAGAGGAGTCAGGAACATGTGTACCACTTTTACATTTCTTTATGTCTGAATTCACATTAAAGCCTCTTCAGAAAATAAATCAGCAGTACTACAGGAAAAAAAAAAAAGTATCTACTTTGAGAAATACAGCATTAGAGTCCTCCTTATACAAACAAAAGTTAAAATTCTTATTATCATCTCCAAAAATGTGTATTTTTCTACCCTTTAAAAGTGTAACATATATAAAAAGCTACACTAACCTTAACTGGAACGGTATTCTTTCACTTTAAAGAATGTTTTTATTCCAAAAGCCAGAAAGAATAACACAAACATAATGCTGTATATAAATTTCACAATTTTTTTCCTTTTTTATATATCTAAGTCATGTTAAAACTCAGAAGAAGGAAAATACTATTTTGTTTAGTAGGGCTTTTTTTTCCAGGTCTGAGCACTGTAGCCACCCAAAGCAATAAAAAGTTGCAAAGGGAAGACAGATAAAGAAATAGAAAACACTAGTCTATGGGGATGCAAAGCAGGAGCTATGAACTATTTACCAGAATCCACTGGAACTTAACAGACTTTATTGAAAGTGAAATGTATATTGAAGTTAAACACAATAGAAACAACCAATACGTTAACGACAGCCTTTGGTACAGAGAGGCAGAGGCCAATTCCTCCTGCAAAAAATTACTTTGTACTACACATAAAAATAGACACATTTCCAAAAAGCAAGGGTAAGGATTTGTAAACAAAGTGTAGATATCAAGCTATCTTGCTTTGTGATGTAGTAAAGAACTACAGAAGCAAAGTAAATACACACACCTATTTGTACTGCAGCTATTCACAGGGATTAAAGAAGTCCCAACATCTACTGAAAAGCCAGTTAACCCTAACCTAGTAAGATAATTCTTTGTGTATTCTTTTTCTTTTCCTTTTTTAAAATTTTTTTAAACATGTGAACAAGAGGACTGGAGCTCAAGAGATGTTTCACAATAAACACAAATAAAAAGGAAGTTTCACAGTTCCAAACTGAGGGAGGCCTCAGCTCCATTTTTCTCCTGCAAATGATAGAGAAGTTGATTGCCCTGCTCCATGAGCCGTAGCAGAGGATCATCTGTTTCTACTCTCAGTGTTATCACCATTCAACCCAGGCTGGGAGACAACATGAGGGGCCTGATCCAGAGCTTGCCAAGACTGAGGGGAAAATCGATTCCACCGCATTTTGAATCAGGCCCTGATTCAAAAAAATAAAAAAGAGAGCCAGCCTGCTGCTGCTGGAAGTCATGATACGGAGAAATCAGAGCTAAGGTGAGGGACAGCAAAAGGGAGGCTGAGGCAGAGGGTGGTCGGGGGGAAAAGCTCTGGCAGACTCTTGCTCTGGGGGTTCAGCTTTGCATCCTCAAAAACCGAAGGAAAAAAAAAAATTAACGTTGATCTTTCAAAATGATGAGGTCCCTAACGCCGTGGTCATATTGCTCAGCTCGACTCACATCTTTGGAGATAACATGCAACACAGCAATCTCTATGCTCATTCAATACTTGTCTCTTTGGAGTAATGACTCCCATTTGTGCCACAATATGTGATGATGGTGATATTCCAATAGCCCAGAATTGCACTAGGAACATCTACCAATAATTCATAAAAGCTGCATGTATTAAACTAACCTTCAACCCTAATGGTTTTAATAGGGTACACATCAGTACAGTGGCTGTAACTTATATTGGATTGCTCCAAAAAGTATTACAAAATGTTGGTGAAGCCTCTCACTTACTGAAGATGCTCTATTAAATCAAGTGGAACTCTACACAGATGCCATTTGAAGTATAATAAAAGATATTTACCTATTTCAGCTAACTTCTCATAGTCAATCTCAGACATGTTTCCCCTTAGGAACAAGTCTACGCAGATCTTGCTAAGTGATTCTTGCAGGATGAAAAGGTCCTTGGGTCAACCCTACAAAAATAAACAATAGTAGCTGTCATCACAATGTGGCATATTTTATACACTATACAAACATAAAAAGAAAACAACCACCTCTCCCCCCCTCAAATCCGACAGCCCAATTATTGTTGGGGAACCAGCTCATCTGCATTTGGGCACCATTTTCTTACAACAGAGAGTACTACAGAAGTATTTTAAAACAGCAGTCCAAAAAAGAAAAGTTACGCACCATAACAAGACTTGCAACAAACTGATCTGGTTTTAATTGGGGGGCAACGGTTGTTTTTAAAAATACTTACATATTATACATTTTTAACGATAAACATCAGAATTGCAGATTTCTGGAAACAACCTATGCCTTAGGTTTTTCTTTATTTTATTTCTGTGGTGAGGAAGATGGATACTTCACGCCCTCCCAACAAAGTCACTATATTTTAAGTCTTATTATAGGAAACGTTTCATACTGCACATTTCACATGAAAGAGCTTCATGAAAATTTCAAGTGATCATTAACATATAAAAAACTGAAAAAACAGCACTTCCTGTGTGTAATCACTGCTTTTTGTCAAACACTCTCTGGAGTGCTTTGTAAACAGAATACTAACACACCCAAAGTGTGCATCAGGAGTGAAGAGCAAGATTTAGAAGATCTGTTTCCCCAAGCGGCTGCTCCAAGCAGCAACAGGGTACTTCTCTTAAATTAAAAGTCCAGACTCAGGTGTGGAGGTGAGAAAAAAAATGGGCTTTTCATACTCTCCTTTTAATTTAATTAAAACCCCATTTCATACTAGTTTGGTTTCGGTTATGCATGTTAAATAATAATAGTAAAAAAACCAAACCAACAAACAGGGACATTTATGGCTTGGTTGTTGAGAAAAGGCATATAACGAGCATGTTCTTCTCTGCCAAGAGATTAGATACTGTATTGCTACTTCAAAGCACTGAATCTGGGAAATTATTTGGGACGAAATCAAAACAAGACCAGACAGTCTGCCTGCTTGCTGCTGTCCACCCTGCACATCCCAAAGCTTAAGTCAGTTAAGTAGGTTTATTCCAGACCCACAAGTCTGAAAGCTAGATACCATCCTTTTTCTTTTTTATTTTTTCACCCAGAGAAGAGATATATAGAAGTAGTTTTCTAGAAATAAAATGCACATCAACAAAGCAAGGAAACATCTGCTTAATTATAAGCATATGTTTACCTATTTTGCTGAGGAGAGATTAGTCATTAGAGTGACCACAGGTACTACGTGTGTGAACTAGAGCCAGGCTCTAACCGCCTAATGCGAAGCCTCTCCTTTGGCTTTCAGCTTATAGAGGCAAAACAAATTTGCATCCTAGTATATGACTACAGCTCCCAGGTACTACACTAAACCAAGTACCTGCTAACCATCATATTTAAAAGAGCTTCTGATGGCTAATGAAGCTTTTCTGTAAATTTTCAAAACATTTCACAGATCTGATACTAATGTAATAGTCATTATCACCAACAGCAACCACGCATTTCCATAACTTGCTGCATCGCAGATAAAACATAAACATGGTTCTACAACTTTGAAGATTTTCAAATGCTTACCAACTATTTTATAACAATCTTATTTGTTTCTTGTTGAACATAATTGTCTCCATTTACTGGAAACTCTCAAATTAAAAGCAGATACAGGGAAAAGTCCCATTAAGCTCAAAAGAGAAAATTATGCAATTTCTCACCCAGCAACAATTTTCTTTAAAAAAAGAAAGCAATTCTGGGCCAGATACATTTCAGTTCATGTTAGTTTTACCACATGGTATTCAAAATGATAATTCCATTATTGTTTTTAAATTATGATGCAAAAAAAACCTCTTAGATTTTCCAACCAGTAATGAATTTATTATTCTTCTAAGTGTTATTTAGACATTTCTAAAATTAACAATTAGCAACTAGTGTGACTAGTGTGATAACGCACGTTTTTTTAGCAACTAATTTGTGGCAGGTATTGTAGACGATTTAGTAGTTGACATAGTTTGCTCATAAGTTTTTGGTATGTTATCTGATCCCGTGTACCCGCAATGGTCAGGAGTACATGGTACATAAGTATCTACTTCGAATAAACAAAATTTTAAAATGTTTTTGAAGCAAAGTGTAGTTGCAAAAAAGGGAAAGCTGACTTTTTCTATCTTATCTGAACAATTTCCTCCCAACTTTTTTCCCTAAACAAAATGTTTACATCTTGTAGGAATGTAATGATACTGAGAAGTTTTCAAGGAGCTCTGAATTCCACTTACAGCTCACATTTGTATTCACACCTCTTAACCTTCAACTCCACCGAGTATTTCAGGCAGGTCTTTCTGCTTTGTTGAAGCCAGAACTTGACCACAATAAGCTCTTTGTGACTTATTTTTCTGTCACGTTTTTCAATTTTGTTTTCATAGACTACCACCTGTATTCAGCCAAACTTTCAGAACAAAGAAAGCCAATGTTCAACATATCTGATCTTCATAGACTTCATCCCAACCAAGTATTTCCCAAAGCTCTTCTACGGAAATGGGGCTCTATTTTCCTTCTAAAGTACCAATTTACACCAGGCCTTTCCATCCTATTGAATTTTAACTGTAAATCGTAAAGAAAATCATAAGTCATAAAAACTAGACTATATCTTTGACACTAGAATGCTTTTCAGATGATGTGAGTAATGAAAGTCTCAATGAATTTATGGAACAGGGAAAAAAGCCATCTCCTTGAGCCCCTGCTTGAAAAACAAAATACAATCCTTCTGCGGCACAGCATGGAATGAAAAATAATTTCTCCTTCATACTAATTGCTAACACTATAGTTAGAAGCAGTGGCTCAATCTAAAGAGGACAGATTTAAACCTCTCCCAGAACCTGCTGAAAAACATCTGGCTTTTGAACAGCAAAGTTACTGTACAAGTGAGAGCAACTACGATAGCATTAAAACATTTGCAAACGTTTAACAAAGTTACTAGGACGCTAGAAATAATTTAGACGGAATCAAAGAATAAGGGAAATGGGGAAGAAACCATCTGCCTGGTTTTCAGCTTACTGTTCCCTTGGGGCAGCAATTAGAAAGTTTCCAGTTACAAGACAAATTTACCGTAGCACCCTCGGAAATTGATTTCCCGTTGACCGCAGCATTCTCTGTTCCTAGGAGATAACATAATCTCCTTAATAGCGTTCCATGCCACGTATCACTGTTTCTAGTAAACGGTCAGATTTAGTGCCTTCCCCCACCTCAACCCACCAAAGAAACAAACAAAAAAACCCCCAAAACAGTAAAAAAGCACCAAAAAGACCCAACCGACAAGCCTTTTATTAATAATAAAAATTTGGAAGTATTTTACAAAATACCACATCCTGTATCCCTCCACAGGCAAGGTTATTACTTACATCCCTAAAACAGCATTACTTTATCGAAAATAAAGGCTGTCAGGCACGCAGAACTGCTTGATAATGAACTTGCATCTACAGATAGTCCAAACAAAGGCAAGGGATTCCTCCCAACATTTGTCAAGGCACAGATGTCTTTGATGCCTATTCTTTTTGTTCACTCAGCTGTCAGATATGTTCTTCTTCAAATTTAAATAGTGTGG